TTAAGACTGTCGCTATTGTAGGGAAAGCTTTTTAGGATCAAACATAATTAGTTGTTTGTGTTAAGGTAGGTTAAATTAGGTCAAGTAGGTAGGGTCAATTCAATCTCAAGCCAGTTTATGTTGTCATAACTATGTGAGTATGATATTATGATATTTGCGGTTGTTGGCTACAAAATTTAGTAAAATTTTGACTGCGTGGTGGTAGAGTAGCGAATTACGTATGTCATTCTTTGAAAGGTTAAATTCTTTCAGAACATTGAAAGATCCAACACTAATGATTTGAAATATGGAAAATGAAATTTCAAATATTGAAATAAAATTATTACTCAACTGTAAAACAGAAAAGTGTGGATTTAATGGAGTGTTAAATTTGATTTCTTGCTTCTTCAAAATTCAGGATATTAGTTTGGATTGGTAGTTCTCTTTGTTACTTCATGCTCACTCGCTCAGCTTTAAATTACTCTCCGGGTGTCAAAATTCCTTGATCATGAAACGAATTAATTTAAGCTCTGGGGAATTTGACTGAAGATAGTACTTGAGCGGTGTTAAATAGGAGTAATATATATAAATTGAAAATATTAAGTTTTTATGAAAAGTGTTTAATTCTACATTAAACGTGTAGAAAAGTGCGTACTGGGTGAGCGCTTTTAAAAAGTTTGATATCATTCGAGAGCAACAGAGCAGTTGTAAAATTTATATACATATATATACCACAAGTCGTATCGTTAAGCTGCAGCATCCGGTTGAAACAACAATCGCTGTCATTAGTCTTACAAAGTAGCTTCGTAACTCTCATGAGAGTAGCATTTAACGCAAGAGAAATTGTAACTACTTTGTGTTGACCATAACAGTCATACATTTCCAAAATTTACTGGCAATTTAAGAATCTCTAAAAAGGCAGTTGCTGCACACTTTCAATGAGTTGTCAGTGAAAAGAATCGTGAGGGTTTACAGAGGAATTTTTACTTTATGTGGTTGTTTTCGTTTTTATACACCAAATAGCTGTGAGCACTGAGCACTTGTATGTTGCAGGGATTTAGACTGTCACTTGTGGATTATACAAAGAATGAACAAACTACTTAACTGTCGTGTGAACTGAAATGTAGAAAGTATATCCCAGCTAGAATTGATTTATGCACAAAATATTTTCCCTTCATTATTTCTGCTTTTATTGTCAGTTTCATAATTTCCATTATCGAAAAGGTGACAAATTTTTCAACGAAAATGTCACGTGAAATTATTATTAAACCTATGCACGTAGAATATTTACATGTTTAATCACGCGGTTTGACATGTTTAATAATTATTAGTAATCTCATTAGTAATCCAACATGTATAAATTCTCAAAATCTCAACAGATGATAAAATAGGAAGTTTACATGTGGCTCATAAATTTTGAGAAATCCCTCCTATTAAGTCACGTTGAAAGGATTCGAATTAAACGAACATATTATTGCCTTTTGCAGTTGTGTTACTTATAACATAACTTGTGTGAAAGATTATAATACTTGATAAGCACATATGTATTTTTTTCAATTTCAACTTTCTTTTTTCGCACAATAGCTTTGCAGTTTGATGGTAGCTCTCAAAGAAACCAATTAAATTATTCACAGAAAGAAAGTGTTAAATTTATTTCGGGTAGTTTTCAGATAGTGTTATTTTAAGTTTAACCCTCTGTAGTGTTGAAATAACACTTTTTTGAATTAAAAAAAGAGCAAGTTATTTCACTGGGTTGAGGACACACATGAAATTTATTTATTTATCACATTAACTGATGTTCGTTCTCCGCTGAGCAAGTTCCGCGTACATTTCCTACTGTATAATGAATGTGGAGTGAGGAAGAGGAACGAGGGTAAGTCGAGGTGCGCACGTGTTTCAGAATTAATCGACGTGACACTCAACCCACAGCGACTTATATATCTTACTTCAAGAAACTATTTCTTGCGAGGCACATTTCGAATCGTTTGCAGATTTTAATTAGGTCTAAATCTCTGCATACAACTTGACTATTTCATAAATTGAGTAAGGATTTAAGGAACATTCATTTCGGGAGAATTTTATCACGAATTAGCACTTTAAGTAATACATGGATTATTTAAAAGTCAATTTAAAAAACAGCAACATTCTTTGTAACAATAATACAACAATATTATTGACGTTCTCACTCAAAATGGAATTGACTTTACTTTAGTTGTTGAAATTCAATTATATTAGCAATTAACCTTTTATAAATAATCTTCATTATTGTAATCTCGGTCCGATATTTACAATACATAAATTAAATTAATTATCTATCGATTTGGCTCTAGCCCCCATTCATTCTTTTCATCCTGTAGTTTTTGGTTTGCGAATTTACCTCTGAAGGGTACTCAAAATTCAATGGAATTGGATTATCATGGGCCTCTATATAAAAAACGATGCGTTTTGTTTTCTGTTATCGCAGGTTTTCATTATTAAAGCGATTTCTCGATTATTGAATTTACCTTTTCAAAGCAATTTTACGGATGCTGATTTTTATTAAATAGATTGTGCTCTACAAAAAGTATAATAATGAAAAAAATAACGAACAAAGAAGATTGTAGAGTAAATTATTGAGTTATCTCATTGCATGCAATTACTTCGTAATAAATATTTCATCTATCTCTATGTTTTTGTACTTTTATTAAAAGTAGGTAATATATAAGATGATGAATCTTTCATCACACCGTCTTATGGTTGCATTTGAATTTTAAATGAGCTTCATAATAATTCAACTTTTTTAACATAAATATTGCTTTAGCAGATATACATTTTGGCTATTCTTTAATCAGGACCTTTTTAATTACAAGAAGAAACAAAATGCGCACAAGACGGAATGATTCACGTTTTTCCATATGTTTTATGTTCACTTTCGCTGATTGTATGAGAAATGGTTTAAAAGTCAAGAAATATTTCATACCGAGAAATGATAGCCCTATATCTTCAGTAGTGGTGTTTCAAAGTTGAAAAGTAAAGCTGATTTACAGGATTTGTGATGAACAAATTCTTCTTCTAAAATTCACAAATCAACTTTTTTTAAACAATACATTTTTATAAAGTTTCTCATCTAAAAGAACTTTTCTAATATATTTAAAATTTCTCATAATGTATGTATTTATCATTCAGTTTATTATTGTCGATTCTTTTACACAATCTTGGAACAATCAAAAAACTTTATCAAAACTGTTTTGCAATTTCTCATTGGAACAATATAATAATGTCTTCTATTAAAGGTTTATAATGAGGAAATTTCAACCCTTTTTTCCTTTCAACTTTCGTACAAAGAATATCTTCAATTAAGAAATGTTGGTAGAGATTAAACTGTACCTCAAATAAAATTAAATAAACGCTCAACTGAAAGAACAAAGAAAGTGAAAAATAAGAGAAAAATCAGTAGCTTTTGTTCTTGTCAGGCTTGTCAGTCTGAAGAGAACCGCCAAATTTGCTTTAGGTACAACTTTGAGTATCTTTCCGACTTGTTCCCGAAGGGAATTTACTCACTGTTCTATAAAAAATTCACTTAAATGTTAAGAAATGAGATAGGAAATTACAAATTGTTATAAAACTTGCAGATATAATTGGAAAACGAATAATTCAGATTGATGTGACAATTTTAGAAAATACATGTTTTAGTTTTTAAATATTTACAAATTTTTCTATTTTTAGTTTAGAAAAATAGTTTTAATAAATTCATGTTTCACGTTTTCTAAATATATTTGTTTACTCGTTGTCTCACCCATGCGTGTCATATGCTACCTTTGTAATTTCTCCCGCGAGAGCAGATGTCGGAAAATTTTACGGCATATTAAAATAAATGATGCAAACCATACGTGACTTTTTACTCCCTTGGAATTTACGCACTTTAATTGTTGCAAACATTGACTTTTTAGTTTTCACTAGAAAAGTGAGGAAATTTTAATAATTATTAGAGTAAAAATAAGAATTTATTAATAAAAGTAAAGAATAGGGAGTTTTGCATTATTATTATTATCAAGAAATAAAACTACGTGGATGACATAGACACTCATCTTCGGGAGTTGTCAGTTTCAAGAAAAAAAAAAAAAAAAAAAAAAATACTTGGTGTATATGTAGACTATAAAGTGAGCTTTGTTCAGAAAATGCAGTAATGGTGGACTAAAATTAAATTAAAGTTGTACTTGCGTGGGCCTTATTGTAAATTGCTTGAATACTCCATGCACATACAGTAGGCCATAGAGTTTTGGTTTGCTTTGACTTCTGTGGAGCAACTCTAAGTACCTCTTCTTGGCTATACATGAAGTTGTTATTGCAAAGCATTCGCTTCTCGAGTTGGTAGTTATTGTAAGCTGTCAAATTAATAGAGCATTCGCAACTAATTTCCTTTATTATCGTTATCGGATTGTGCTTGGGTCGCGGTCGCGGTCGTCTAAAAATTGAAGATAGTACCATACGGAGAGAAAATATATATTAAGAATATTAATTAAATATTATTATAACTTTACTAAATTTCACATAAATTTCACAGCTAATCGCAAGATGCCTCTTTTCTTTGTAAACACTTTAGCAAAAGATGAGATTTGGCGTCTATGAAATTTTTATTTGGATGCACATTGTGCAGCGAGATACAAATACCACTTGTCTGTTATACATATTGTCTCCATGTCTATGCGCGGAAAAGTGTGGGACGATTTTTCTCGTCGCCCCAAGGAAAAATAAATAACCGCCCTCGACGGATGTCCCTCGCATTTCAAAGAGAAATGAATTTTCTTTTAGTCGGTGAACATTAAAAGTTCCCTTGTGGCATAATTTAGCAGAAAAATCATTGCGGTACGGTGGCAAGTGCAATATCCAGTCTTTTGCTCTATGAAGTCACGAAGCCCGGAAAATTATGTTTTCAATGAAATTCTGAAAATGTACGTAAAGCTATAAAAGTAGTTTCTGAACATTGTTTCCATTATAATGCGAAGAGAAAGAATTAATGTACTTTTTATTGTTTGTTTCAGGTAAGTTTTTATCACATGCACTGAATTTCCACCACCGGTAAGTTTAGATATTTTCAATGTTATTATTGTTTTCAGGCAAGTCTCTTACGTGGAACTTGCGCCTATACTCTTTGGAGGCTGACAATTTAATTAGTATTCATTTAAGTTCAGTAACCATTGGATTAGCGTGATTGACGGTCATTGAACCAGAGTGCAGGCAGGGTCGAAAATGTAGTTGAAAATGTAGTCAACTATCTAAAGTGGTAGGTAGGTAATGCCGAATCCTGTTGCGGTATTCGCTGTCAACTGTGTAGGGTTAAAATTTCATTCAACTCTGTGCCCGCAAGAGGTTTATTACCCATCATGTATAGGGGTTCTAATTAACTATCCCAAACTGACACATCATGTGTCACTTTAATACAATGATGGTCCATAATGTGCAATATGTTCGTGGAAACTGCATTTAGATATTAATATTCAAGTATCACTTGAATCAATGTGAATCATTTTTAATTCCTTATATCATTTGTCAATTAGGTATGTGCTAATTAACACAATCTTTTTTCAAGCAAAGAGAAAAACAGAGGTTCTCTATTACTATATCAAATTTACTGTAAGCATTACAAATTTCACATCGTTTATGGTAATATTTTTTTTTTTAAATAAATTATTCATGAAAATTGTCCTCAAATATATTTTTTACACTTCTTTTTTAATTCTTATTTGCTTAATTCAGGGAAAAGTCAGGGAAAGTAGAATTTTAAATTTTACAAACAACTATATGCTTCAGAAATTCAATTATTTTCAAAAGTGATAAACTTCTTCGCATCAATTCAATTATTTTCAAAAAATTTAGTAAAATTCTTGGCAAAATTTCAATTATTTTCCAAAATTTTCCTCATTTTAATTATTTTTAATATCTAATATTTTAATCAAATTTTCCAAAAGAATTCAATTATTTAAACAAAATTTTAATAAAAAATTCACAGGAATTCAATTACTTACCAATTTTTTTTTATAAATTTCTTCAAATCAAATCAATTATTTTTAATTTTTTAATCAAATTTCTCCAAAGAATTCAAATATATTCAGAGGATTGAAAAAAATAGTTCTGAGAAATTTAATTATTTCGAAAAATCTAAATATAATTTTTTTAAAAATTCTATGTATTATTTAAAAAAATGTTGACACAATTCTTTACAAGATTTAGTTAATAAAATTTTCCTATACAATTCAATTATTTTTAAAACAATTCTTCTTAAGAATTCAATTATTTTCACAAATAATACATTTTTTATGGGAATACAATTATTTAAAAAAATATGAATAAAATTCTTTGCAAGACATCAATTACTTTCATAAATAATAAAATTTTTCTCGAGAATTCTATTATTTAAAAAAATTTTCATAAAAAGCTTTAAAAATTTGAAAATTAATAATAAAATTAAATTTTTGTGTCAACTCTGGAATAATTTAAATAAAATTGCATTTAGGTAATTAGTAATACCTAAATTTACAAGAAAATTACTGCAAATTTTGTAATGCCGTTGCGATTCGTATAGTTAATAACGTCAAAGTTTATCGTTAGGATAGCTAATAATAATAAATCGCAGTCTCCTATTTCTATTTTGAAACTTATGAAAGGAAGAAACTTTAATAGTATTACAGTTTAAGAAGGAAGATTCGGTTATTCAGTTAGTTTCAATCATTAATTAGTTTAAAAATTAAAATGGATAGTTTCACTAATACCCAAAAAGCTTACGCGGTTAAATCGCCACAATCATTACTAAATTACTAATAGAATGTTCTATGACCAGCGATCAAATGTTGCTTGCAACACTCCCTGCAACGTATTTACTAAGTAACTTCTCTCAGTGAATTTGCACTGCAATCTTGTAAAAATTCAAAAAAGCTTGTTTCCATTTTAAAGCTTATAGGATTGACAAACTATCAAGTGTAAATAAATAATGTATTTTTGAATATGGGAACACAATTAACAAATTTTTATTTTTCAAGTTAATTGCAAAGTTAATTGCATAATACATAAAATATTGATCCAAATTCGAATTTATTTATTGTATTTTATTCTGCGTTTAATAAACATCAATAGTGATGAAAGTTTTGCAGTGTCAATTATCAAAGTCGAGAAACTTTACATGTTACAGTTAGATTGTATTAATTATACTGTCTGCCTTTCAAAATTTATAATTATAATTTATTGTCGCTTGTCTATTTACGTTATAAATTTTCCAACTACTTGAGTTAATAATATTTATAACTAAATAAAAACAAAACAGTAAAAAATGCATCATTTATGAAATATTAAACACTGTTTTCCTGCGCTGTTTTTGCTAAGAAGTGTAAGGCAACACTAGAGCCTTTTGAAATTGAGAAGAATTATGTGGTTTGGGACGTAGTGACAAAAAAGCAGGGAACCAAGTTTTCTACAACTTTTGAGATAAAAGTGTTTGAGGAAGAAAAGACTTTGTAATGCTTGCAAAAAAGAAAAAACCTTTTCGGTAAAACCAGTTCTTGATTCACAAAGCAACTCCCAAAATTGTTGTCCGTCAACTACATAATATTTTGCCTGGAAATTCTTAATCACTTTAGTGGAAAACATTTGAAAGAAAGAAGAGAAAGAGTATGATCAATAGAATTCTGAAAAGCGTACAACAAAAGGGGATGTTGATGAGAAAAGTGAGAAAGTCGAAGCTAGCTTTTAAAGGGAAAGAAACGGAGAGGGGGGAGGGTGTCTTTGTTGGGTTGGGTGAAATAAAAGTAGATTTGCACTTTGCCTCTTTTAAACAAGCTCAAAGTCCTTTCGTGTGGAAAACAGGCAAAAATGTGTACATTGTCGCTTCTTCTTCTGAATTTTATAGATCACTTGAAAACGAATGTGGATACCGGCTTAAAGTTTAAAGCTTCGAAACCTGCTCTCGATATACAGTCGCAAATGCAAACGCAAACACACTTGCACGTCTTTGTGCGCCTACACTGAGCGACAGTGGTGTACGTCGCGCCTTTACTCTTCGAGATAAATGATGCGAAGTAATTAAAAGTCGATAAAGCCTACTGCCCTCCTCCACTCGATTTTTCCAATTTGCTCCTTCAACATACTATTCAAAATTACGTGCATTACGATTCTCGATCATTATGTCGCACTTTTTCAGAGTTTACGCAAAAAAATCATTTCTTTTATCTTCTTTCACCTATTGTAGTTATTAAAGTTGAGATTCGAGATCATACAATTTAATTTATGAGAAATTCTTTCCGTGTATATGAAGCCCCGCTGGAGGATTTGCAGGCATGTGACTGTTGGGTCATGTCAACGACTGCATTCCTCGTCAAATACTGAATTTTAGAAACAAATTGAAATTTAAACAAGTTCAAATAACAATTCGAATTAGAACAAAGACGTGAATGAGCTCTAAGAAGACTTGACTTGAGACTTTTGATCCACAAACATTACATATGGCAGTTTATTCAATGATACAGGAATATCGATTGCAAACGTCATGTTTGTTTTTCAGTATCATGGTCCTGCACGTAAACCTGGAAACTATTCTGTCGCATTGAGAAATCGATATTTTCCCGACACATTTACGTTTACAGACTATAACGACTTCACTAAACCCTCAATCACGCTACTCATTTTATTTAGGTACTAATTAATAGTTTTCATTTTATAATTTCAATTATTTTTCAGTGACAAATTTATAAAAATTTTTAATAAGTAACAGAAGAAAACATTTCTGCAATGTTTTTCACGTTTGTTTGCATTACATTTTTTTAATTGAGTTAATCAAGAAAACTTTTTAATTTACTATTCATTATATTGAAAGTATTATTTTACTTTTCAATTCAATTTATCTATATAATGATAGTCCAGATTTGACCTAACATTAAATTCAATATTTAGAAGGATTTCCGAAATATAATTAATTTTTTTGGCAAGCAACTTTCCTCAAATGTCACACCAAGAGACATATTTGTATGTATATTTAGATCCAGTTTTTAGTGAAGCGAACAGTATTTTTCTCTATGTAACATAGGGCTTAAAGGGGACACCGCACTCTTTTTAAGTAAGTTTCAAGAAATCAGTGACCTGTTCTCCAAACTGATAATATGATAGTACAGCCGACCGTAGCGTAGGTACTATTGACATAGAGAAATTCTATAATATAATAAAATTTGCCAATGAATAGGTAATGTACGTCCCTGAATTTCTTTGACCTGTCTTATTAAATGTTCTTTTCGCTCGAACGAAGAACGATACTCCAGCACAGTCCACTTGAGCGGCTCTCCAGTGTACAATATAGAAATAATAGTAGAACTGAGGATGCCAATCTCGAATTCTATCAATTGCTTCACACTGTTAAAATTTAATTTGTAACTATTTCAAAATTTAGCCATCAAGCCTTGAGCAGCCTCAATTTCATTGAATATTATTATTTTTTATTTTTATTGTCGGTGAAATTTGCTTAATTTTTAATTAATAAATAAAATAAATCGTTTATTCACAAATTTTTAAAACTAATTTTTGACATATTATTCAATATAGAATAATCCAAGTTTTACTTTGTTTATAATATTATTTAATGTTATTTTACTTAGACTCTTTTCTAATCAACACGCCAGTTAGTTTTTCAAAAGTTATTGGGTGAACAACATGTTTTTGCCTAGAGACAGTCATACAGACTGACACTTTTTCCGGACTTTGCGACTTTCGGGTTGAATGTGGAAATTTTATAAAATTAACAAAATTCAAATTTCGACCAAAACTAATACCTTCTTATTATGTGACGCGAATGTAAAAGAATAGGAAAATATTAAACTCGATTTACCGGTTTCTATTACCTGCTAACATAAATTTTGCCTTGTATAATTAAATTTTGTCATGCTGTTGATCAAAATAAAAAAGAATTTGATTTTAAATTTGATTATGATTTGAAACCATTGAATAATATATTTAATTAGAGTAAATAGATAAGATGTTTCAATATGGTATTTTTAATATTAAATAATTCCAACTGTTAGACAGAGTCCAGAGTCACTCTGTAGAATAGAATGTGAGTATTATGGGATTTAAACAAGTTGATAATATATTTTTATCAACGAATGGTACAGTAGGTATCGAAGAAACGCACAGTGCTTGATTGCAACTCAAGCCATCTGGTCAGCATTTTCAGAATTTCACTTTTACGTAATTTCACGTAATTTCTACTTTCCTTCCTATGGATAATAAATTCCAGTTGTTTCCGACAATGGTAAAGCAGATCTCTTCCTCTCATCCATTGACGTTGGCTGGTAGCTGCTGGTAGCACTTTCCAGCGCGTAGTATTACAGACTTAACCCCAGGTTAGTAGATCTTGGGGTACACAGATGGCATTAGAATTGCTCAATTCGAAAATCGATATTTTCGAGAAGCGAAGTAATCCACTTGCTATAGAATGAAAAGCTCTTTTTTATTTCATTTCATTCATTTCATTCCACTTTATAAATTGCAAAAGAAGAAAATGATTTTTTCTTGAAATACTAATTCAAATGATTAGAATTTAAAACGTTCAAAAATAATGTTACACACTTTTTCAACATTTACTCCTCTCCACCCTGTGGAGAGGTGACACCCTGTTTCACAAGAAAAATATTCGGTTACTCGTTAAATAGAGAGATGAAAT